CCCATCCCATCCCCAACTTTGAAATTGAGTCTTCCAATTGGTCAAGGGTTCTTCTATCCTCTCATCAAACGTCTCCAATCACAGTACCAATCATGCCACCAGATAGCTATAAGCCTCCCCCTCCACTATCACTATCACCAGCCAATCAAAAAAAATAAAATTCATCCAATTTCCATCAGAAATAGTCGCTGTTGGGTGCAAGCCATCTGAGTAGGATCGTGTTACTGGTGGGGCCATAATTGACCAAATCGGGGTCCAGGCAATTAGCGGGGTTTGAGTAGCCAGTGCGAACAGAGCCCCCGGTGATGGGGCAACTTGTGGTTCTGAGGACTTCTAGGGGGGGCCTTTGGAGAAGATAAACCCTTTTTGGGGCCCCAATTGGAGGGGATAATACTGGTTATAACTCCCAGGCTCTCGCAGGCCGGGGACTCCTGATTAAAAGTACAGGAGGATTCTGTTGTTGGGGGCTTCAAACTAGAACCCCCAGAAGGAAGTTTTTAGCGGGGCTTTTTTCCCTGGAATTTGCGACCTGCTGGAAATCCTACCTTGAAACCCTCTACTATACACATAGCAAATCCTTTTTTTGAAGAAATCCTATCATTTCCTGGTAATGATCAGTTTTGCTGTACTTTGCCTGTTTGAATAGTGTGCTTCTCTTCATGACAAGCCAAGCTTCTCTCTGACCGTTTTCTTGTCAAAAAGTATGAATCTGATGATGAACTAACCATAACCCTTTGCGTATCTTGACAGTTTTCTGATCAGCTTCTTTGCTCATGATCATTTGGAAGGAAAGAGTTCACTAAGGATGAAATAAACGGACTAATTGGTGTATGATTCAAAACTTTGTCTTTTTATAACCTTGTCAATCCACCAACTTTACAATCAAAAGATCACTTACTCAAATCTACTAAAAAATCTCAAAACTTCCCCATAACAATCATTGTCCGGGCATCAATTTGATCAACAGAAGACTTTCTTTTTTCCCATTCAAACACACATCCATTATTTATTTTGATTTTTTTTCTCTCGCATAAGCTTGTAATTATGGAGCTTCTTCACTTAGCTTATGGTTTGAGACTGCTTTGTCATGTTGTACTATTTTGGTAAAAAAAAACTTTACCAATCAGGAAATTAATTGTTTAAATATTCAATTTGGATCATCTAATTCACAAATAACAACAAGAACAGAGGGAATGTGCTTTATTATGGTATGTTACCATTTGTGTTTTTTTTCTTTTTTTCTACAGAAAAAGAAAAAGAAATCTGTCAAAAAGACTAGTGTGTGAGACCAAAACAAGTTGAAATTCTTGATGATATGCAAACGAGATGATCCTCTACAAATATGGAGCAAAATTGCCAAGATTAAGGATTAAACTGGACCCATGATCAGGATTAGATTTCACCCACTCTGGCTTTCCCACTGGATAAACTGAGAAGGGAGTTTGATAAAAGTTGAGATTTGGATTTAAATTATATGTAACAAACTTCTAGTCTTGCTCTCAAAATATTTTCACCTCAGAATTGATGTGCACTATCTATTTCCATACACTCGAGATCGTTCATTCGGACCTAGGTGTTGAGATCTAAGCTCCGCCCAACCATTCTCCGCTCGACCATTCTGGTACCCAAGATCAAAACATTCCTGTCGTCATTGCGGCCTGAACTCTGAAAGTGGTCAAAGCACTTGCAATGACATCATTGTGCTTAGACCGCCTCAATCATATTCGGCATCGTCATCGCACTTCTCTTACTTCCTTTATCATCCCCTCTCCTTTCAGTCGAGTTTCCTCTTTCTCTCTCAGGACTCCATTCTCATACTTTTCTCCACCATTGGTTTCCTCATTTGATCGTATCATAAATCTTTACTCTTCAACTCATCACTTGTCCTGTTCCTTCTATCAAACGACTTCCTCCTGCTCGCACCCTTTCGCACTCTTTGATCTCTGTATCAAAACCGATCCCT